ACCAGTCCTGGGTCTAGATACCCTGTAGACTCTCTGTGTATTAAAAAAAGCCAAATAACATAGCTGGGAAAAATAGCTAAAACGTAATAAAACTTCAGGCCGTGGTTTATTGTGCTGCTGCAGTCTTTGTACTGGAGTACAGAAATGCATCTGGAATACTTCTTACTGCCCTTCTGCAGGGGGAATACTGCAAATGCTTCATCTTCCTCCCCAGACCTCCCTCTGCAAAATAGAATAGCTTTTGCTCTTCTGCTCTTAAAGAACCAAATCCTTCTGTATGCACAGAAAGAAAGCAGGAAAAAAACTCAAGCAAACAAATATTAATAAACTTTTCAAATGGAAAATGGAACCTACAGTTGGAATGCTCTTTGCTTCTATTACTTAGAGGTTTTGAGACCACTGAGCCAAATTTTTAGATGAACTTCCAAGAAGCATTGTAATGTTGCTCCATGTAACTGAGTTACTGGATTTTAAGAATATTGTTCCAGGGTACTTTGGTTAAGTTAAGAACTGCTTAGTAACAAAAGTTCAGTCTTGACATAGACTTGCTTTTCAAAAATATAATTAAAAAAATCTAAAACTAAATTAAAACTGTGATATTTGTATTTTCAACAAGATATACAAACAACATATTTGTATTTTCCTAAGCAGTGTAAGGCTGGAGCTGTCTGATCCTAAGTGAGCTTGCAAATCCCTGTTCATGCAGGCAGACATTTATTCTTAGAAGAAATAATTTGGGAAACCAAACTTTAGCTTGATTCAGTGTATGGAAAAGTGCAGATGGCTCGAATTAGGGATCAGGGCCTAGCAAGGTATGCAGTAGACTGTATATGTAATTAGGCAAATATAAGGTCTATTTATTATTTTGTATGCTGTGTTAATAATGTCTGTATTTATTCAGACTTTCGTAATATGCATGTGTAATCTCAGAGAGATGCTAGGTCATTAAACTCACCATGGAGACTCTGTTTACCTACCTTGGGCAAACAGAATACATACAGTTGTAGTTCTCTAAAAATAACCAGGAAAAAAAGTAACAGTGTATCAGTTTGGCTTTCATGTTTTCCAATAAGTATCTAAGGAAATGGAGCATACTATTTACATTGCCCTTATTGAGATAGAACACAAAAATATCCAGATAAAATATTTAATTATAGTGTTCTTTCTCATATACTAAATGTAAGACCATATAGCTTAATATATAGTACTAGATGCATCAGGTAGTGAATGGGGCTAGGAGGAAAGGAGCAGGTCCTTCTTATATTTCTGGTGGGGCCTGCGACTATGGTCTTTTACAAAAGTAACATGATAGATGTATCATGGCTGCTGTGAGCCCAGGAAAGGCCGAATTGCAAAGGAAGACCTTTCCCATAATTGGCTCCATACCACAGCTTTGTATCAAACGATTCTGCTTGGAGATTGTCAAGATGATAATGAACATTGAGATTTTACTGTACTTCTATTTTGACTAGTAGACTAAGTGGCAACAGGCACCAGAAAGTCTGTCTTCCATTAACGCGAATGCTCTCATGACCCATTGGCTTCATTAGTACCATATCTCCTATCTGGAAACTGCTCTGGAAGCACAGATACTGGAGCTGTTTCATTAGCTCCAAATATAACACCTGCCTCCTGAGCCATTATCTGCAGAAATCCATAATTATCTGTTCTTTCCTCTCCAGTCAGGAATATCAGGTCCAGATCAAGGACTGGGTGCTCATCTTTTATGTCCTTATTCAACTGGATCTAGGCAATTCAGCTTCTTTCTACTTTGGCTGATTCTTCGAAGCACCCCAGCTGCTCTCCTGAGTGCCAGAACTGATACCTTTCTCTTGTCATATTACAGCGAACTGAAATCCCATCAAAGGGCAAAAGTCCATCCATTTCCTAGTGACTTTCTCAACACAAGCACACACACACAAAGCCAAAATCAGTAGCTAAAAATAATTAAGGCAGTAATAATTTTCACCATGGGAAACCATCCATATCCCGAGTACGTTTGTTCTGAGGAGAAAGTCAGGCTGCATGTAGCTTCACGGGTATTTCATAGGGCATTTGATACCACGGTGATGAAAAATTACTGAAATCTTTCATGACGTGCAGATAACGTTCAAGAACACAGTATGCACACCCTTTTACCCTTTTAGAAGGTTTAGGGTTTTGGGTTTTTTTCCTTTTTCAGTACGCTTGCAGGGCAGTGGCGACCGCCGGCCTGCGGTCTCCCGCTCAGCGCCAGCTCGGAGCAGCGGGGAGGCGCCGCGGCTTGAGGTGGGGCAGGCACGGGCCAGGTGATCGCGGCAGACAAAGGGGCTGGCAGTGCCCCACCGCCGCGGGGCGTTGGGCGGTCAACAGGCGGCTTCTGTCCCAGCCCAGGCAGCGCCTCCCGGCCGGGTCCGATCGAGCCGGGCCGAGCCGGGCGGGGCGGGCCCCGGGAGGCCGCTTCCCCTGGCGGCGCTCGGCACTTCCCGGCGCTCGCACACCGCGGGGAAACTCTTCCTCCGGCCCGGCCCGGCCCCCGCTGACGTAGCGCTGTCTGTGCCGCTGCCGCGGTGGGCGGGGGTGGCGGAGACGCGGGCCGGGGCTCGGCGCTGTCAGGCGGCGGGGCAGGGCGGGGGCGGCGGAGTTCGCTGCCGGTCAGGCGCGGGTAGAGGCGTCCCGGGGATCACGGAGAGAAGGGCGAGGGGCGGGAAGCCCTGCGGGAAGGGGCGTCCGCCCGCACCGCGGCGCCAGAAGCGCCCGGCGCGGTGTGAGTGGTGGTCCCGGTCCGCGCAGGACCTTGGTGATCAAGCACGTTAATAAAGGCGGTCGGGGAGGAAGGCGTCCGGGGGTGCTTTATCCACCTTTGGTTCACCACTTTATCCTGTGAGGAGGAGGAGGAGGCGGAGGAGGCGTGGGGCCGGGCCGGGCAGTGTGGAAAGCCGCCCGGCGGGTGTGGAGGAGCGGCAAGCCCAGCCCGGGGAGCGCGACCCCCGCTGCGGTTCCCGGCTGGTGGCGGCCGCGCTGCTCCCCCAACAGGCAAAACTTTCTACACTCAAACACACACACAGAGAAACACACAAGCACGGCCGGGGCTGCCGCCGCCGCCGCTCGCTCGCCCCACACACACACACTGACGTCTTTTGCGCATTTCCTGCGCTGGAGCGAGCGGCGGAGCGGCACCGGCAGCGGGCGGGGGCTGCGCGGAGGGAGGCGGCCGGCGGCGGCCGAGGGGAGGCGGCGGGCGGGA